TTCATTCCTTTCCCCTGTCTTCCCTCCCTCACTTTCCACTCAAACGCATATATTCCTATTGATCTGCGGTGATGCATTGGATGGAAAGATAGGTTTAGGCGGGAGGGAGGTCAGTTCACAGATGAATGAAATTTCCAGGGATGGCGGGTGGGATAGATTGAATGGGAGATGACTCATCTCCAGAGAGTTGAGGGGGTACATCATTCTTCACCGGTGGCTTTAAAAGGCTGGGGGGAAGTAGTGCTGCCACTGTCGGTTGGCCGGAACACTATTATGCTCCTATGTTCAGGAGGGCTTGGATAGAAATTGATTTTGATGAAGGATCCGCTTGAAATTTAGAATCTTGTCCTGTAACTGAGTCAGGCCTTCTACTTTTGAGGCGAGGACCGGATTCTCTGTTTTCATGTTGTAGTACCACATGCAGTGAAAGGAATAACGATGCCATTGGGAGGATTCAGTCACTAGAACGAAAGAAAATAACTTGTAAATTATATGAATAACCTAACTGTTTCTTAGGCCAGTAAAAAGAATACCTTACATTATAATAACTATCGAGTCATATTAAGTAACAATATTATTCGTTTTCTTTTTAAATTTCTGAGAGTTAAGTGCTCAGAGTTTTAAAAGCGCGAACATGTAAATAAAAATTAAGCACTGTTGAAGGATGCATATGAGTAGTGTAATGAAAACGTGTGAGTTTAAAGTAGACGATGATTGCAAGGAAGATGCTCTTGTTTATTTTCTAAAAATATTATTATTTTGAATAACCAGTTATTTTATGATTTAAATCTTTACTCTCATTTCTTTTTCCGTTTCCCTACCAGAATGCAAATTAGTTCGACAGTATATAAAGTTAGATTTTTGGATTGTAAGACAGAGCGTGTTTCTGCCTCACGTTACTTGGTTAGTTAGCACAAATAAGATTGACTTTTTCGGCTTTGCATTATAGTTGCCAACATTTAAATTGTTACGCTGGGGAGAAGTTTTGAGCCAACTTCGCGTTAAATCATGTTACATTAAGTTACATCGCCACAAGTAGCTGGCTAATTTGTAAACACAAGTCGTGCATTTATGTTTCAGTTCTAACTTAATAAAAAGGTGTGTTTTGAAACGTTCTAAAGACTTTGTAGTTCTTTTCAGACGAAGTGATAATTTGCTTCAAGTTTGTTAAGAGTTTGGACTTAGTTTATGCTAACAAGAAAGATTAAACGTTATGAATTTTTAGAGTAATATTCTTAAAATCATGAATAACTATATTGGTGCAAAATGTGCGTCTGCTATTCTATGATTATAGGCTTATGCTTACATAGTCAAAAATATTACGACGGGTAATGAAGCGAAAGGATGTACAAGATATTAGCTGTACGGTGAAAAGAATGAAAAGGACAAATATTAAGCTATTGTCATTAGATTAAGTATGGAGTATGGTGTAGTTAGATTAATTTTTCTGCAGGGTGAGTTATAATATTGTTGTCTTTCTATTGGGTTAATTTAATAGTAATTTAATAAAAGATTTTATTTTTACTTTTCTGTTATGTACATTTTTTTTTTCATACATTTAGTTAAAAACCTTGGCAAATTATTTACACGCAGTTAAGCTAAAAGGTATTTCTCCCACTTCCCTAGCGTGCCTTCGTGGTGTAACGGCAGCACGCTGGGCCGGTATTCCAGAGGTCCGTGGTTCGATTCCCGGCGAAGGCGGTTCCATATTTTTCATCTTTTCTGCTTCCAATTAATCTAATGATTCTGCAAGTGGCGCCCGAACTAAAAGGGTTGTGGATGATGATTCTCCGCACCCAGGATTTGGAGACTAATTTCCCTAAAACCCTAGTCGCCCTTTAAAAAGGGGAATATATAAGATATTTCTCCCACTTCCCTAGCGTGCCTTCGTGGTGTAACGGTAGCACGCTGGGCCGGTATTCCAGAGGTCCATGGTTCGATTCCCGGCGAAGGCGGTTGCATATTTTTCATTTTTTCTGCTTCCAATTAACCTAATGACTCTACAAAGCATAATACTTCGATAACCTCGAATTATTCAAAAATTATTTCATAGAATGCATGGCGCCATTTGGACGGAATTGAACTTTCTATATCTGTTTTATGTTGTTGGTTAAAAAAAGGCCTATCGAGACAGATCTTGTAGAATCAAATGGGAGGGGGGATTCCACACATTCAAGAGAGAGAAAAAAAGCTGATATCCAGGTTTTACGAAGGGAAAAAAATCACTACTGAAAATGAGTGAAGAGAAGATCAAGTGCAAAAATTTTAAATACAAGAGTCGATAAACAAATTTGGTATTTCACATATGACTACTCATAAAACATTGAGAAAAAACTCACTACAATTTCAAAAAAGCAAAATATTTTAAAAGGTACCAGCAAAACGTAAGGTGTACCAAAACTTCTTCACGCTACGATGAGGAAATTTTTGCAAATGGAAAGTCTTCATTTTAGATTGTAACTTTTCAAACTTGATATTTTAACTTTTAAAAATCTAGTAACAAGCGAAATAAAGATTTTTATTAGAGATATCAGAAAAACTTCAAAACAGTTTCAAACATCTGGAAAACTGTACAGAAAGAACGTTTGAATCAGAATTCTTTAAGATTTGCCCTGTTCGTAGTTACCCTGTCTAAACTCCTTGCGTGAAAAAATGAATGAGATAGATAATTCGGGACCTATATTTAAAAAGATAATATCTGCGTTACTTGTTCAAGTTTTTCAATCTTTCAGTCAAAGTACACAAAGGGTATCTGCTATAAAGGCACAGGTATCTTCTTGGGTGACTTTCTAACGGAAAAGAGCGCATATTACGAATACTTAAGGGAAACCATAAAAATTCCACACAGTCAGCTCGTTCGTCGAGATTAGAAGCCAAGCCGAGATGCCACGTTCAACAGTTTAATCCACTCTGCCACTTGTGAGCCAGGTTTTTAAAGTTTGGATTGGTTTATTGAGACAACGGTAAAGCACACTATAGCTATCTATCTAAAGAAACTTTCTTCTGAAAAACTTTCTAAGAGAAACTAGCTTGTATAATAAAAAAGAGTAAGAATGGTGCGAAGACCACAATAACGTTTTTGCTGTTTGTTAAGGTAAAACAATAAAGTGATATGCAGGTTTTTCGTATGGAATCTTTGGTTTTAGAGAGCCTTCCAGTGTAGAAGAATAGCTAAGAAATCAAAAATGAGGAACTTCTTTGCAAAAAAAAATAATATTAAAAGTAAAAAAAAAAAAAAAAAAGAAAAAGAGAGGAGCTGAACTCCGACTAGTCTATGATACGTCTCTCATATAGAACTTCTACAGTAATAAATGATCTACAATAATGGACAGATATGTTAAGTACAATTGCATGCAAATACTTTTAAGATTTTGAAAATATGAAGCAAAAAATGTAATCGATTTTGAATAAATTAAATGTATCGGAATTTTTATTATTAGTGCAAAGGGGCTTTGTCCCTGAAGGACTATCGTTCTCGTTTTGCGATTTTGCGTTGGTTCACTATAAATGTCCGTTTCACACTTTTCAAACTGTTGCCACCAAATGTTAGAGTCCTGCATTATATTTGAAGAAATTAAATAAAGAAAAATCTGCATAAATGTTGTATATTTTTCGCATTGTGATAAAACAACGGTACATAGAGTCATCAAATTTTGAATGACGTAGTAATTCTACGAATATGGGCATGTGAAAGACCAAATTTGAAATTTGGAATTTGGTTTATTATCGATTTTCTATTTTGTAAAACTTTTTGATTAACAAAAATAAACGAATTTTTGATGAACAAACTCAAGGATTGCAAAGCGAGCCATGGCAACGTTGTACAGAAAAAAAAAATTTATCTCCAGCGCGCGAGACTTTGTATTGGAAATTTTAAAGATATACTGAATTTAAAACTATTTTACGATATTGCTCTTGAACTGAATTTTAGGGTTTAAGTTCGAAGAACGTGATATTTAATAAATAAATGTAACAGACAAAATGTTAAAAAAACTTCTCTTTGGACGTAATTTAAAATCTTTCAGATTTTTATTTGCTTTTTTCATTTTTTTTGTTACATTGTTGTTATTTATTTATTTTTGTCCAAAATATGCTGTTATTTTATCAGCAGAGTTATTATTTCTTAAGCAATTTTATTGCATTTGTTATTACTTTAAACTTTCTTAATCCTATATGCCTAATTTTGTTTTGAACTAGAATTTTGCATTCGTCTTGTATTGCATAAGTTTAAAAAATGTGCTTTATACTGATGATACAAAATAAGACTTTTTTTATAAGTTAGCATTCCAACATTAAGTTTAACCCCCTTTCTGAAATAATATTTGGAAATGGCAGCAGTAAGCGTCTGTAACTAAACGGAAGTTACGTCAAGCATCCAGGACTCTGTTGGACTAGTGTAATTTGGTTTATTTAATTATGGCAAAGCATTCGATAGCTCTCTGCCTAAGAAAAGGGATACCTTTGTGGAGCACATTCTAAGAGAAACTAGTTCGTATACACGTTAAACTTTGAGAAAATCACAAAAACGTTCGTGCAGCCAACCCGTTTGCGGGGTTCGAGCCTTTGGAAAAAATCCCAGTATTTAGCAACTTTACCACTTGGCCGCTGGTGGGCTGAGACACCATACGAAGTGCCATATATTGGAAAGACGTAACACCAGATTATAGCGTCATACGTAGATATTACGTGATCATGTCTATATTTACTTTTTGAAAATACTTAACGTATTTAAAACGTTCGTCTAAGAAATTTGTAAGAGCACTTAGTACGAACAAATGGAAAATAATACCAAGTTGACGGTGACTTAGTTTATTCGTTATTAATCGCCACCTCTTCGAAAAGCAGACTGTCTTGACAAAGCCAATTTTTCGGACATCTAAGATTTGAAAATGATTAGTTCAGTGTTTAAAAAATATTTTTTTCTTAGAATAATTTTCACATTCCATGATCTGACTTAACATTTCCTTTTCCTTTCCTTATGGTTTCTGATTGCTTTACAGGGCAGCAGCAGCAACTGAGAGCTTTCGCTACAGCTTTTGGACACAGGCCGCCTTACCTGGATCCCAGATTTCCAGACCCATTAAGGGAATGGGACCTCCGAAGGAAAACAGCAGAGCACTGGGCGCTAGAGCTTCCCAGAAGGATAGGCGGCCCTGGCCAAGGTGAGAATTTTTATCTTCTGTATTTAGAGAAATAGTTATAAAATCTCGAGGACCATTTATTATTTAATGTGGATGTATATTAAACTGTAATGACAAAAATAAGCAACTAACTAAATAAACGCTTTTCATTCCGTAAACATTATCATTAACATGACCATAGCATTCTAACATTCCAGAGCAGATTTTAGCTATAAAGGAAAATATTTCCTATTGCGAGAAATTGATAAATTAAAACTCATTTCAAGTTTCAAATTTAAAACCTCGGTATATGTCACATGTCAGTGTCAGTAGTTTGTTTTTCGCCTGGACGCAAAAGTGTATTTAGAGGAAAGTATCAAAATATGCGTATTACCTTATCGTTTAAAATGATATTTAAAAAAGAAATATAGGGATAAGGTTCCAATATATATGTTGCAGAATAAAAGTTTTTGCAATCGACATGTGTTATACAAGGTAGAAGAAACGTATTTGGTTTGTTGCATTAATTATATAAAGTAACGCTTCCTGCAAATTGTTCTTAAAACTACCAAAAATCTACATTTAAATGATTGGTTTCTGAAGACAATCAGATGGACAGTGTAGTTTTATGGAAGATAAAGAAAACATCTTAGGTGTTATTGATTCGCAGTAACGTCTAAAGATGATTTGTTGGCGAAAAAAGGACTCTATGTTTAAAAAATAACACATGTTCCCTATATTTCCGAAATGAAAAAATATCTGATTTTAGACAACCAGCCATTTAGCAGTTTAAAAGTGATTGAATTATATTGTTATATTTCGGTTAAGGTTTTTATGCATTGAGCTAATTTGCATGCAATATTTATCGAATTATAAACAATTTAAAACTTTAAATGGTGCTAGGCCTAACGAGCCTGCCGTTTGTTTACATTTGAAACTCTTAGTAGACTAGCGAATTAAGTCAGTTGGTGCATCAACTTCAGAGTGTTTTCGCCCAGTAGGACCACGAATTAACTTCCAGTTTTGTGCATCGAAAATTTTGGCTTCCTGCCCGCTGGCCGAATTGCTTGTTTTTGCGTAGAAACTAAAAATTTCAGTTGTAGTTCTTTTTTAATTGTTTTTAACTGTATTTGGTGTTTTATATTTTTCTGTATTTTACAATTTTTAATGAAGTTGTTTTGAGTTTTTATGTACTTTTGACTTGCTGCGGTAAGAGAACTGGACTGATTGAATGAGAAATATAACTCTAGTGAAATTCGAGGAAATAAGTTTAAATGAAGTGCAGTAAAAGATGTGTATAATTTAATAGGCCGTAGAAGGAAGTAATGGGGTGTCCACATACACATATATATCTATATATTTAGTTTAATAGTTCTGGTTCATTTTTTCCATGATAGCGTACGAAGAAATTTTACAAATAATTGATAAAGTTAATTACTTTAAATTTAATAAGCCTTCATAAAAAGAATCTCCTGGATTACAAAGAATCTAAGAATATCTCTTAGATTACTGTGCTTAAACTTCACAGTCATTTCTTTGAAAATATTTACATGGTTTCATAGGTAGCCGTAAAATCTCCATTGCATTTTCATTAACAATCAAATTTTCTGTGCATTTTACGAAAATTTAATTAAATCCTCCAGAATTTCCTTCTTATCCTATCAAGCAGTGCACCAAATTCGTTATATGTCGCGACTGCATTCGCTGGCGTAGACAAAATATATGGTCCTCCATTCTTTTATGTTACGTACATGGTCCATTAACTCCACCGAAGAACAATCCCCAAACAAATCAAACGACATTTCTTTTCTTATAATGCAACCTTCGAAACACTGGGGGATTTAGAAAATTATTAGAACCGATTCCACATTTGGTACTTTGCGGCTATGAAATACCCTCCTCCCTGTGGTTACGTAGCATCTTCCTTCACATACGTATATCCCTTTTTGCTTGAATATTTGTTTTTTTTTTTTTTTTAATTTTTCAGTGTTTCCTTTTAATAGTCCCCCCCCTCCAACCATTCTTTTCTTTTTTATTATTATTATTTCGGGAACCGCGCCCATTACTTTTATTACTTTTCCCTGTTCTCTACCCTCTCCCAATTATTCCCTCCTACAGAAAGTGATCACTGAAGGATCAATTGCACATTAAAGCTCTGCCTATCAGAATGGAAGGAAGAGTGAAAGAGAAAAGAGCGACAGATAGAGAGAGAGGAGGGGGGGTTTCTTATTTATACTGGGAAGGTTTCTTTTTTTATTTTTTAACCCCCTGCTCTTTTATTTAATATTTTGGCAATTTTTTTGTTATTGCTTCTTTGTGTGTTGGGGCGTAATATGCGCATTATGGTAACGAGATGCGGAATTATGCTATAACGCAGTCGGTATTTAATCATGCATTTATTAAGAACCGTGGACTTTTTTGTGGCTCGTTTTTCAGACTCGTTATTTATAGTCCACCAAGCTATCTTGTTACCACTTTTTCAATACATATAACGTAAGGATTATTTTGGAAATAAAGTGTGAGCTAAATTAGTGTTTTCTTTTGCACAAATGTATAAGATCCTAAGTAAACAGAATGCGGTGCTTTTATGATTCGTTTCTGTTTGGCATTTTTATTAAATTAAGAAATATGTTTTCTAACTGTAACGGAACTACTCGTATCTAACTGTAACGGAAAGTTCGCATTCAATTTATGTTATAGCCGTGGCAATAGTTGCCGATAAGGCCATTTGGCAATAGTTGCCCAGCTAGACTTCCCATCCGCTGTCCACATTTGCAAGGAGTATTGATTTATAGGGTGACGTACGTAATGTCATACATTAAAAGTAGCTTATCAGATATTTAATATTCAAAGCGTTACATTAACCTCTTCGCTCCCTGCATTATATGATGCAGCTCAGGTTCTTTCCAAGCGCCCCATGTGTGATACGGGGCGAAATGTTATTGACAGCCCAGTAGTTCATATTTTAAATGCGCATAAATTATGTCAGAAGCCTGCGAAAACTTGCTAAATAGAATTTCTAATGTTATTATGATTATCGTTTGTTATTTTACTCTACGAAAGTAAAAAGTGCGCGAGGCTAACAATGTGCTTTTATAATTTAGATAAGTTTTACGCAGCGTAAGCGACTTAAAAGTTTTGTATGTAAATATGGCAACAGGATAAAATAAGCACTCATATTTAAATTATTAAGTTTTACTTCATTATTGTACATAAATAATTTAAATAGGGGAATATAATCATTGTTACTAATATTACACTTTAATAATTTATTTCGAATTTTTATTTTAATATAAAGTCTTAACATTTTCTGTTTATGCAGTAAGAAATACTATATATAACATGTGCGTTAATCCCAATATTTATATAAAAAGCAGGTTTTATAAGGATTATTTTTGCATGTTAAGCTTAATTGCAAAACGCGCTCTGACACAGTTAAGCGCTCCAGACTCAAGAGCACTCGGAATCTTCTTTCGCTCGACTTCAAGAGCGAAGAGGTTAAAAGCGGTACTAAAATACTCTTTAGAAAATGGGATGGCTAACCAGAGCATCACAAGGCATGATCAACAATTTCATCTTTTTTTGCGTATAATATCTTTGAGGTGAAACTTCAGTTTATAATAATTTTATGACTCAATTTCTCTGCCATTTGTAAAAATACAGTATGATGATGACTTGCATCTCCTGATTTCTGCTGGCAGACTTTCTCCATGGGAAAAAAGTAGAAGGGTTTAATACTTTGGCCTATGGCGGTCACAATTAAACGTCTATTTTGAGTATCACTGAGACACGTACCAAACTCAAAAATTTAATAAAGGAAACAAAATCCCTTGGTTGGAATTCTCCGCTCCGAAAAAGCTCTAGATGTAAATGGGATACGCGAGGAGCTCTGGATTTCCTGAAGGTTCCTGGATTCATGGTCTGTTGCATCTTTTATATTCAGAACGTTTAAAGAGAAGTTCGATGCAGTCGTCGTATAGTCCCCAATATTAATATCTGTAATTTATTCTTGTGGGAATAGCTTGATGGATAAAATCTGCCTGTAAAATTCAGGAAATGTGCGCGACGGACGCAACTTTCTTTCCGGCATTGGCAAAGAATATGTGTCATAAACTTGTTTGTGTCACAAACAAGATTTTTGGCCTCAAAGAGAGCACGGGAACTTACTGAACGCATCTTCTACTGTTTCGATCACTTTTAGTAGTTGTAATAGCAACCTTTCTGGAAAAAGTTTTGTTTGTTTTTACACATTAAAACTTTTATTTTTAATAATGCTATTTGATGACCATTCTCTAATACGACCAGTCTCAGCAAGTTGCGTATGCAAACAGGATCACTCTTAACTTCCGAGTCTTAACTATTAGTTTTGAATTCTGAATCGTAATTGTAAAGGATGGTTAGATAATCAGCTAACTTTAAAGAGAAAAAGCAACAATTACAGCAAATCTTTTTTTTTTTTTTTTTTAAATAAATATTGTATCTTCGTAGGTGCCATCCAGCAGTGATATAGAATGCTATTGCTGCATTAATGAAAAGCAGAACCAGGAACAATATGATTATATATACCATTTTTACAGTGGTTTTCTGTTCACATGGATTACTGCAGTTTCACCCATCTGCCATCCTAAACATGCAAATGTTTAAGAGTTTGGCATACTTCGCATAGTGAATGGCTCTCAAAACGATCTTAACAACAGTTCTCCCATTTCTATCTGAAGCCAGATATGCGAAGCGCATAACGGCCATCTGAGATTTTAACAAAATTCGATTAACTGGGGTATGGTTAAACTAAATTTCGCTTAATTTTAATCTAACCTTCTCTTGCTAGATGAAGTTTTCGTCCAGATTTTAACAAAACTACCAGATCTTATAAATATAACAAAAATAAAAGCAGCTGGAAGTTTACTTCCTCTTCTCTTCTGAATAACAAGCAACATGGAATTCAATTATTTGCAAATCTCACGTTTACATTATATCCTACAACTAGCTTGACTAATTTCAGGATTTCTGCTAGACTCAAAGGGTGAAAACTCCCCAGCCAGACAAAATATCATTCACATCGGACACATAGAGCTCATTTACGGCCACTGGAGTTGCCAATCATCTTCCTATTAAATTACTCTTTTTAAAAGCATCTCTTTCTACATAGTCTGGTGAAGCAGATGAAACAGTAGAGGCATAGGACAGATCTTCACATAAGCAAAAGTATGTTAGTTGAAATAACCTTACAAACTTTTCCGAACGCCCTATACAAATATTTGAATATTCTAAGACTATATGAATGTACGCAGTTTATAATTTATACTGTTCTTTGACGTTAATTTTACATTACATAAATTAAAATAAGTATTTTTGCTGAAAGAGTTGGAACTAGGCGGCTGTCTCTCGAAATGTATTGAATTTTCATCTCTTTTTGAAAGAAATACCAAATTAAAGTTGAAGTTTTGCAAATAGTGGCTATTAAACTTGTCATTTGCAAGCGAAGAATGTGCAACATTTATTATGAGCACCACAGAAAATTTCTCAAAAAAGAATTTTAATTTTTAAAACTGCAGCAGTAGGCGCAAATGCTATAATACATCATAATTCTATTCAATTAGACACGAAAACGCTTCTTAAACTTTCTATTAGTCTTTACAATAATTAGACTTAAAATAAGGTAGTTGAACTCTAATCAAATCATCATTTTTTGAGATTAATATCAGACTAATGCTAAGTCATCTTAATAACTAAATTTTTTTCCGCTGTTTCGTGAAAATTATAACCTTTGGTAGCATATCCATTCACTAGTGCTATAAAATCCCCTTCATCCAATAAAATGACTCTAACTCCCAAATGAAAAAAGAAATTCGATTTCGATTATTCTTTGAATCCCATTAAGTGTTATCGATTTTTTTAGAGCTCTTAATTCTTATCGACAACATTTCCCGAGCCTTGGCATCAAAACAAGTTGTAAATATTATTCCTTAAAACTCGTAAAAGTCATTCCGTCACCCAAGTTGGCAGCCAGGTTGATGTACCTGCCCTATCAAGGAAAACCGAATAAAAGAGCGAAAAGACGAGTAAGAGAAAGAACATGCTCAGATAAATGGCGAATGTAATGAAGAAGAAGAGGACAAAGTGTCCCGAAACAAATGGCCTGTAACGGCGGATGCCAATTACACCTTTATGGCATACCAACCAGAGGGCGATACTTACCCCATCTCCTTCGTGTTGCCAATTCCTTCTTACAGTTTTTGTTCCTGAAATAAAAAAAAAAAAAGGAATCTAACACAGAAGAGAAAAGGAAAATGGGAAGGTTTTCGTGGTCGTAAGGAGGGGATATTTATCACGAGACGGTTAACCACAAAGTAGAATTCTTCTGCGTTGGCGTAAGTGCAACTCTAAGGAGGAATATTGGCAAAACAATCATCTTTCATACGCCTTCCGTCGTTCACTTTTCTGAATTCTTCTTATTGCTTCGTTTTACAGAAGCATTCTTTTTCGATTTGGTTTCTTATTTCTTCCTCAAAACCGCCGTTTTTGATAAATAGAGAGTTGTAAGAGCAATTTTGTCTTTGTTTTTAGTTGCAGCGTTCTCCGAACGCTTTCCGCTTTCCGCTTTCATTTCGGTGAGCACTGCCATGTGACTGCTTTAGGTGTCAGAAACAATCAAATCCTTCGTGTTTCACTAAGTAAACGATTATTGCACTTCATCCCTCCCCCTTTCTGTCTTCCCTCCAGACATTTTAAGGCAAAGAAATAAAAAAACAGTAAGGTAGCTATGTAGCAGTAGAAGCAAAGGGAGAGGGTGAAATCCCAATTTTGGTGAAACGAAGTTGAAAATTTTTCTTTCTTTGCTTTTTGTTACCGCTTGTTTCGTTTTTCTTCGGACCAGTCGATGAAAAACCACACATCAAATTAAAATTGAATATGGCGGAAAGACTTGTCTGCTTTTATTAGCCGTGCACTTTAATGTATTTTCCATGTAGAAGGAGAGGCAGAAACTTTTCATAAAATGACTCATTTTTTCAGAAGTAGGAAACTAAAGTCTTATATCATAAAAAATCTAGTATATAAGCTCTTGTGTAACATAACTGGTTATCATAATATACCATGAAATTTATTAAATCTGCCATTAATGGGAACAGGATTAAATTATTTGAAATTTGTCTCTTATATTTCTAAAATGTATCTAAAAGTTGGTTTATATTCTTTTCAATGCAATGTTAATATCTGATTTTGTGCACAAGCCACTAAAATCAAACTTATTTCTAATTATACATTCAAATACAATGCTTTGGAATTCGTCATCATCATGCCAAAACCACGTATGGCCGAAATTTGTTTCAAGGTTTGACTCATGTTTAGTTTGGAGAAAAACTAAATTAAGAAAAGCCGAAGAACCAGATCAAGAACTGAAAGAAATTATTCTACAAATTAATTTGTTTTAGTTTAATACTTTCAACTTAACTTAACTTTCAACTTAATTTATGAGAAAACAACAAGAAATGCAGATTCAAAGTCTCCACGTGATGCCGTTAGTAAACTTTCTACTAGAATGCACCACTTCATATCACGAATCTTAATGAAATACATGGTTCTTTGTCAGACTAGAATAGATACTAATTGTCCAAAACCCAGCCTTAGATGTTTTATTTTAATAGGAATATCGAGTTCATTTCGCCGAAGTTTTGAAAGATACTGACATGTATCCTTAAAAACGTGACATCTGTTTTAAAGATACGTGCTTCAAGATTGTCTCCTGGGTAGTCAGTTACATTTTATAAAACCAAAATTAAAATTTAGAGAATTTTTTTTCCTCCTTGGGAAAATGGAAACTCCCTTGAAATGTATTATAGTTTTTTAAAAACTCAATACCAGTCTAAGCTTGATTCTTGCCTAATTTTAGTTTCAGACCTGCGTGTTTTTCATCATAATACAGATACAAAAATTTATCATCAGTTTTGAAATAGTATGTCACAGCTTATAGTGCGAAATAGGTGTAAATGCATGTTTTACTTGAAGAAATTTATTAATGATTTTTATGATCAGTAATTTAAATTTTATTATAATATTATTACAGATCCTCTTCATTTGGCTGAGAGTCACTGGGGCGCTTATGGCCATCCCTATTCTTCTTACCTTGCTTCGGCATCCAGTTTACAAGGAACAGGTTTTCCACCCTATTCATTAGATGCGGCTTTGGCGGGAGTGTCTCCATCTTCTCAAGACTCTTGTTCTTCCACATTACCTCTAACAGGTAACTTTATATCTAAAAATACTTGAGCCAATTTACACAAGATGACCTATTAAGCCCACCTTCATAATGAGTTTTCTAGTGTGTTAAAAATGACTCTACATATTAAAATAACATAGAGATTCAGCCGATGCCCCGCTCCTGTAACTCATTTCGATGTCGGTAGGTTAAGGCAAATGATAAGTAATGCCTTTTCTTCCAGGCGTTGCAGATCAGTTAACTTCTCAGAATAAACTAATCTTTGAAAGACCTCTCTGATTAAAGAAGCATCACATCTGGATTCGATAAGACTAAAGTCGGGGGAGATACTTTAGCAACCTATCTAAATTAAATATCGAAGATTATAATTCATACTGTTTATTTATGGAATATCCTGTATAACTATAATAATACAAACAATACGCGTACTTAGAGAATCATATGAAAGTATCTCCTCACGAGCTTTACATTTTGGTAAATTTAGAAAGGATACAAAAGAGATTCCGTACAAATAAATTTTACACTCTATTTTTAATAATTTATTAGTTTTTTGAAAGCAGAACAAATTGTGTAAAATCGGTGAAATTTTTTTGAAGATAGAATTTTACACTGAAGATAAAACAATTTATTGCATTTGCTGGCTTGTCTACTGTCCTTGTTCAAAAAGTTTCATTATGAAAGGTAAAAAAAGACCTATTTTTGTGTAGTAAACACGTTTTTTTTTAATTAATCCATTTCCAGCCGTTTCCATTTCCATTTTTCCATTTCCATTTCCATTTTTCATTGAATGATTAAGTTTACAGCATAAATAATCTTACAGTTTGTCTTCTTTTCCACTTTTTAGGTATAGGCGATCGTGGTTCAGCAGTGTCAACTACAGGTTCCTCTTTCCCAGCTCTCAACGATCACGCTGTAAGTTTGTCTTTGAAAACAGATCCCCTTCTTGTCTCCAGGTACAGTAACGCAATGGCAGCGGTTGCAGCAAACTCAGAACTGTGCCTCACCGATCGTCTTACCGAATTACGTCAGGGTCTTTCCACTGCAGTTGCTAATCCTCAGCAACCCAGTACCACAGTGGCACTACTATCTAGTAGCACTGGTAGTCCTCCTTATCTGTCGGTGAGTCATCCAGGATATGGCCTACTGTCTTCGCATCCTTATTATAATGGTAATGGCTGTTCAGGCCCCGGAGCTCCGAGTATGTATCTAAATCCACCTGTTGTGCCACCTTCTCTATTGTACCCGCAACTGTATAGCAGCGTAGCTCATAACCAACTTCATCCTTCAATTCATATCCTTGGAAGCAATGTTGCAAATAATTCTGATATCTTACGATCACCTGAACCACAAAGAAGTGAAGATGATGCCTTGCAAACTAGTTCTAATCCCGGCTCTAGAGGAAGCTCGACAGGCAGTGCAACAAGTAGTAATGGTGGTTCAACGTCTTCTATAGTGAATCTTATGTCTCAGGTTGAAACTTCTCGATCAACTTCCCCAAGGCACCAAATTCAAACGAGTTGTACTACTACATCAAACGGAACAACGCTTTATGGTAACACATCTAACGGTCATGGACAGACAGATTCTTCATTGTGGAGACCTTACTGAATATTTTATGCTATTCCAGAGTTTAGAGGATTTTAAACAACAGGCAGATTGCAGTTTTATTAAAGGTAAAGTGTATGTGGCTTACCTTTTCGAAACTTTATATCATCTCATTTGCATGTGGTTGAGGAAAGAAGTGCATAATGGGATGAAACTCAAGTCTAAGCAAGCAAGTTAATTCATATTCATTCCTTGTGACTAATTCGAGGCGATAATTTTAGTTCTTTCTAAATTGTTGTCCTATGGATTGAAATTCAAGCTGAAAGATGATGAGTTGGAAATAAGGGAAAGTTCAGTTGAGTTGAAATTGAAACTTAATTTCAGTTCTGATTTTGTCTAGGAAAATGATTTTCAGTTGTAGTATTATTAATTGCTTAAATATGTTTTAATATTTAAAATTAATAACAACAGGTATCAAGATTGAATATGCTGAATACAAATTATTTCAGCTAAGCTAAAATTGCTTTTTCGACTGATATTAAATACTGTATAATGAATAGCGTTCTTCAAAAGTACCTGGTGTACATTCCTAACAAAATAAAGTACTTTTGGAAGATTTTAAACAGAAAATCCACTGTACATTAACGTACGCGTGGCGAAATATAGTTCATGAGCTTTCTGTTAATGTGAGATTTGTATATAGTAGCTATGGAATGAAGGCTGCAGAATTAATGTAACAAAATAGAAGTTCGTCTACTGTGTGATATGACTTCTATTTTAGAAGTTGTAAAGAAGGATTCCAAAATGTAGATAAAATTTTGTAGCACAAAGGAACCTTCTTGAACAATATTTAGCGTGTTTAAAACGATATAGAGACGTTAGTCAGCTGTTGTAGCTAAAAGTGCCGAGAAAATCTGATGGTAAATACTTATCTCGATTTCCTACTGGTGTTTGACATTATCAGACATGATTGCAATTTGAAGCAAGATCGATGTTGATAACATTTGTATCTGTTCTTAATCAAAATACTGTGACAAAGAAATGTATGAGGATTCGTGACTGAGAAAAAATGTGTAAACATGCTCTTTGAGCTAGGAGAATAACTTGAGTCTACAAGAGTGAGCTTCCTTAAAGGATCACTACATGTATCGCTGTGTAATTATATTTGTACATTATAGAATACAGAAATATATCTCATTCAGTAATGAGTGCCAACATTCTGTATTTTGTAAAAAGAAATATATATATATATATATATATACATGAAAAATAAATATTTCAAAATAATATCTAGCAATATTTGTGATTATTTTACATTGTTTCTCCTTTACAAAATCAAATTTCGATCACTCAGTTAGCACACTCTTCCTTTTCTTTAGGGTGCAGTTCTTCCCGTGAAAAACCGTTCGTTACTTTAAATTTAAAAAAAAAAAAAAGAAAAAAGAAAAAAAAAAAAGTTAAATATCATTTGATAACTTGAATCGGAAATTAAATGCATACGAGATAAATATGGAATAAAACTTTTTGTCATTAAAATGTTAGACATTTCCTATTACTTTTTGTTGGAACTAAAATTAAAAATTTATTTTAATCTTGTATTAAAAATTATCAAGTTTCACAAAGTTACTTTAAAAAGCTCCATAGTACAGTATAAGATTTTACTTTGAGTTGATTTATTTTATTTCCGAAGATTCCAATCTAGTGTCTGTTGATGCTTAATAAGAAAGACGGGAAATTTACAAACATTTTACGTTACAAACCTTTACGTTTTGCCTTTCTTAACATTAAGAAAGCAAACTAGTAAATTGTTATTAAATATGATAAATATGGAATAAAACTTTTCGTCTTAAAACTTAACGTAAAATGTTAATATTTTGATTGACTTCGGATTTTACAGAAAAATACTTCATTTGAGTTTCATGAATATTACAACAAAATTAATTAAAATATTTTAACTTTAAACGCTTGCTTCATAAATAGTCTAGTCAGCAATTTTTTTTTATGTTAAAAAAATTAGCTTTAATTGAAATGCAGTCTCCTTGACATATATTTTGTATCTAAGTTTCAGCCTTTAATGATATGGTCGAAAATAATACAGCGCAATAAGTGTTATTCTTAAACAGCAGAAGTCTGCATTTCTTGGAGAGTAGAGAGGAAATCCAAACGATTTTCAGTAAGAGTGAAATTCGAAGAATTCACCGATCATTACATGCATTCGAAATACTCATCCGTCACCCTCTGTTGTACGTTTACATGAATCATCGTACAACATATGGAATTCTAGATCTATTGTACTACAGCTGAGAGTTTAAAAAAAAGCACCAAGAACTTGCTTCTGGTACATCTTTTCGTTTTATTATTGTCTTATAATGTTGTAATGTTGCGAGGCCCAACTTGTCAGCAACAGTGGTAGTGACTGCTTTGAACTGTAAATTACACAAACTCGTAAGAAGGGTTTAAATCCCTTTTTATTCCACTTTAAAAATCACAGTTGCGTTCACTTGACGCTCACAAACTACGCCGACCCGGTGGTTTAACAAAATAGACAAAAATGCAACTAAAAATAAATGACAGGATGAAAAAATAACGAGGTCACTACCTACGAAGCTCTATAATCGTTACTAACTTAACCGCGTTCTAAGATACAGCTGAGATTCAGCAAACTTTCTGATTAAGAAGTTGAAAGATTCAACAAACTGCCGAAATAGGCACACAGGCCGAAACGCGCGGTTCTTAAATTTCTACCTAGCAACCTTCACGCTCGCGATTCAAGAAGCACACTTACAATCTCGTTTCCCTTCTATTTAAACTCAATTTACCTCTGCTAAAATTTGAATACTCTGCGCGTTCTGCTAAAATTTACATACTCTGGCATTGGCAATTCTAGGGGAAAGTAAAGGCTTGACAGGAAAGATAGCTTAAAATAAATGTTAGTTAAAATAAATATAAGTCCTACAGTCTATTATTATATGTATTTTGATATGATATCCCTGTTTCAAAAAAATCCAGCTCCGTATCATCACTGCTGTGCTGAATCACTTTGTGGAGCTTTTTGATGTTAATCTGTCTCTTCAGACCAGTGTACAATTATTATCTGATTCCAGGATAAATCTGGATTCAAACAGGAAGATTATATCGGGCTCACTTTGACGGAATACTTTCTCTTCTCTCCTGGCCTTAATGTTCAAAGGTTATCAGTTTGTGCCATAGCGCAAACAAACTACTAGCTCATATTTAGCGTTTCTTTTACGGTATTGACACATACCAATTCTTCGGCTATTAAGGTGACTATGGTAGAAGATTCAATGCTATTGCGTTTGGCCAATGATGCATTGTAGGCAGTAATATACTGTGGGACTGCAATATCTGTAATGATATGTAGCCCTAACATAACCAAAAAATGCACCTTCCGATTTGCCTTATAGTTGTCTGGAATTTTTTCCGCAAATAAGAAAATGGAAAACAGTCTACAGAGAAAGAATTTCTACATGGACTATCTTACCACAAGCCCTTCAAGATTTTTCATGCGCTATTTCCGAATTTGCATCGCATGTTTAACTTTTGGGGAGGGAAGCAGTTTACAGAATGCTGATTGTAAACTTTTGCTAAAAGGTTCTTTAAGACAACTTCCACTGAACGACAACCGTCTCTTAACGAAATTAAATAGTTTACATTTCTGGAAAACTATTAGCCCAGCTATTTATTATCCTTTTAAATATAAAAAAGATCTAAAATTATATGAAATGCGATATCACCTCGTGCTCACGTGAAATGTAAAGTATATTTTCAAAAACTCAAACTCGCTCAAATTGTTACAGAAGTAGCAGGAATTAATTGCTTTTAATATAAATCGTAAATTCTTATGTCATCAAATATATAAAAGCAATTCATAATTTCCATCAATTTTCTGTTAAATAATTTATTCAATTCTGAAAAAAATTGGAATCAGATTTTTCGTTGGGTTATGAGCAGATTTACTGGCAAAAGATTCATGATATAAAGAGGATGGATCGTTATTAGGGAACGTTAGGTTAGATTCACCCTAATGCGGCAAGGCGAGAAGCGGTAGCTAATAGGTGAAAGTTCAAACAATGTGATTTTTCAGACAAAGACTGTTAGATTTTATTGAATTTTAGTTTTCTGCGTTCCTTCTTGATATTGCATGATTATATGAACAAATTAAACTTTGTAGGCTGATTGCTGCTTTACTTAATCGTTTTTGCTTTTATCATCATTTTCTTTGTGTTTTCTGTATGAGCATTTTTTACGTCTTTCGCTTGCAAATGATCTTCTAATTAAAAGAGTCGTAAAAACTCCCACGCTCTTAGTATTCGAACAGTTAAAAAAAAAAAAAAAAAAAAAAAACCACGAAAACTCAGTGATCAAGAAAAGTACTGGAAAGGGTTTAGCAGATATATATTACGCTGATTATTTTTGAGTGTTAGTGACATACCCCGAAATGGAATAAAATAGTGCCAAGAAATAATGTAATGAAATCGTAATTTGAATACATATTTCCACATTTAGCGTAAATAATTTTAAAATCAGCGTATTTTAATGACTCATGAAAACATAAACAATATCTAAATTTAGTTTTTTTTTTTTTTTTTTTTTTTTTTTTTTTTTGGGTGTGACACACATTTAGTTCGAGCGTATAAGACAGAGTTGTAAACAGATTTACATTAGCTGAGATCCCACTTCGTAAGTATTACACATTAAAAAATATTACTTATTAAGTTTATTTATAATAAATTATTGAAAAATGCACAAATTTTCTATGTACACGTAAGTTATACAAACACAGAATTTAATCCTCATTATACACTTATAAATGATAAAGAAGCAAAAGTAAATATTAAGTACTGAGCTTAATATGGAATTTTCTCAAAATGAATTAAACGCATTTTCTTGTTAACCTAAACTTTTTACATACCAAAAGGCATTAACATAAATAAGAACACTGTTTAACTTTCAAAAAAGTTTCATGTTAAAAAAAAATGGCAAAATAAGCCTATCTTTTCTGTAGAAGAAACATCTGTTTCGGGGATAAACAAAATAATGCAATTTAAGTGTATCTGAGCCCACTAACATACGCAATTTTAGCTTTCAAAACAGATTTGTTTTGAGAGCTGCTAATGGAATACAAAGTATCACCAATGCATAATTTAAAGTAGGTTTGACAAAGACTGAATTTTTTCCCAATGCATAAAATGGAAAATTTTTAGGAAAAAAAAAATACTAATGGAAGCCTGTCTTGAGAACTCATTTCACTATAAAATGTATATAGTGTTTTAATTCTGCATTAAATTAGTAATGTTAAACTGAAAAATTATTTAAAATTTTTGAAAAATGTTACTCATAAACGTGAAACAAAAGAAGCTAAAAATCATAGTAGAAAAATTAATATCGTGTAATAAACAGAAATTATTTTAAACAAATTATAACGCATTCTTTTGCTTGCGCCTTTTATAAAGTAAAATTACAGCAACGTTTATTTTTGATTTTTATTAATAAGGCGCCAGAGTTCTCTCATTTAGTTGTCACAAGCTATCGACCGATACGACCTCCTTCTTTTTGGAGTCTTTAAATATGTGCTCTACACACTATCCGGGAATTTCTGGCAAGAAAATCATTAACCTCTTAAAACTCCCATTGGCTCCGATTCCGGGAAGTGGCTTGCCGCCTAGATAGTTCTCTCAACAGAGTAAAAGAAAAAGGCGCGGAGGCATTAAAATGTAGACATAAGTTTCTGGCAACAACCACAGCGTGATAAATCAGCCAGTGCCCTCTGGTGACCGTTTGGCGGTCTTCCACAGCGATAATTAGGTTACCCAGCATGCTCCGAGCGTGGCAATTAATTTTAGAGGGGATAGCAGATACACAAACTAAGTGGTCAACCATTAATTGCAAGCGCGTGGCATTGTTTCAGCCGTAAATAACAACAGCAAAAAATAAAAGTTAAAAAAAAATGCCGCTAAAACATTGCGACGCTGGGAATTAACAGACAAAAAAGTAAGTAGAGGGTATGGTGCATTTATATGATGACAACAAAGCGGCGAGTATCTATTGTACTTCTGGCAATTACTCAATGGATATTTTTTTTTGGTGAGATGCTTCAAGCTGTGTGAGGATATTAGTGCTTTTACAAAAACGAAAAGGAAGTGTTCTGTAATTAAAGAGAATGTTTTAAAAGCGCTAGAGAGTTGAAGGAAACGAGAGGGAAGGGAAAAAAAAGAAATGAGAAAGAATTGGACGAACTTTGAATTTATAATTTCTTTTGCACTTTT